TCTTTGGGGGGGACAGGAGGGAAGAACCTGCCCAAAAGTCCTCCCGAACCCTCTTCAGGACTGATGTATCAAAGGTGCAGCAGTGAAAGGGTGAAGCAGCAGCAGCTGGGCTAACAGTTCGCTATGGGTTCTACCCGCTATAAATTCCTCTGGCCATATTTAACTACACTTTTGACTCTATAAGGACTTAGCTAAGTGTTTGCACATCTGGGGCATGTGCTTGGAGGCTGCAGCCAACTGATAGGGGGTGGATTTCTTCTCCCACCCGCCCTCAGTCGCGTTACAAAACCCTGCTGTGTGTTTGTAGAGGGGCACGGAGCCTGGTCTGAACAGCACTTGCTGCCTCCCCTAGGGGAAACGGTCCTGGCAGCAAACATCCTAAATACTTTTTAGGCTTTTGGCTTTTACCGTCTTGTTTGACTTCTGAAACTAAACCTCCCCTCAAATCCCACCTGCCCCAAAATGCAGCCAGCCCAACCAAATCATGGCACAAGCTCCCCAAAGCCCAGCAAACCCGATTTGGCCACGAGGACGCTCTTGGAGGACTTCTCTGGCTCCCTCCTGCCCCCTCCAACTTCCCCAGCCACCCGAGGTTTCTTCTCAAGATGCTTCCCTCTGTTGGGGCACAGGGCCCATCCCTCTGCTCAAAGCCATCTCTTACTCTGCACCAGCTAACCAGAAAACATCAGTTTAAACCACAATGAAGGTAAATTTATTATTATTATTATTTTTTAATTGATAACTAGCAATAGAAACACTTCTACCCTCAGCATAAAGGAGGAGGTGCTCTTAACTGGAACAGCCCAGCCTGGAGGCTGGCGCACTAATAGCTATGCATATTTTTTTCCAAGATTTTTTTCATGCACTTTATACAGGGAAGAATAATATTTAATGCAGGAAGTGTAATTTGTAGCGAGTGTCTCATCTCCTGTGTCTGCTCGGTTGTGTAAGTTGCTTTCTGTATCTGTGAACTGGGGTCGGGGCTCGGTTTCTTGGGGGGGGTAGAAAATTGGGTTGGGGGGGGTGAAAATGTGGCAGCCTGCCCGTGGCAGCAGCTCGGTACCCCCAACCCCTGCACGTGGAGCAGGATTTGGCCCTGCAGGGTCGTTTGCTGCAAGACAGCCGAGAGGATGCTTCTTTTGTGGGGCGTTTTCATGAGTTTTCTAAGCCAAGCCAAGACTTTTCACTGTGCTATGCTCAACGCTCTTGCGGTGTTTTGACCTTTTTGGCCAAAATAATATCTCTTTGGCTCAGGGGCCTCTTTGCTTTTTAACGATGTAGTTTAGCTGAGGAAAACTAAGAGAAACGAGTCCCACCTGGGAGTATCGCCCACGTCCTTAAAAAAAAAAAGAGGGTGGCTGAGCTCAGACCTCCCCTGCTGCCTGGACACAGGCTGGGGGCTCAGCACCTCCTTGCTCTGCTACGAACCAAGAGCCTCCAGCTCGTTGTGCCTGGCGGTCCCAAAAACTGATCCAAAGCGAGCTGGGGCAACGCAGGGGCCTGTTCACACTGTACCAGAGCTGCCCAAGAGTCTCTTTTCTATATCAATGCTTGTGTCGTCCTCGCGCTGGCACTGCCAGCTCTTTGCACAAGTTCAATTCTCGCAGTGCCTTATCCCCAGGTCAGCAACGAGTGCAGCGAGGAGGGGGCTTCGCGCTGACCTCGAGTCTCTGTAGCTTCTAGGAAATCGAGATCATGGTAGGTAAATGTGCAGGCTGGTCACACTACAAAACCCTCTGGAGCTGGGGTGACAAATAAGTGTCTTGTTCCTCTATTTCCCTTACACCATCCCTGCTTTCCCTGACGCAGGAGCCGCGCTCCCTGCCTCGCCCCAGGGCACCCCAAAAGTGCCCCATAGGTGCCTCTTGCAGCCCCTGCACGTTTTGCTTTTTCACCCACCCCCCACAACACCCACCGTGTCTCGGGAGCCTCTTCCAGCTCTTTCTTTCTGTTGATTTTTTTTGTAAATGTAGTGGGTCTGTATATAAGGAGTGGATATTTACACTGTGGTATCCCGTGTTGATTGGTGTACTTTAAATGAGCTAAAATCCAAAGAGACTTTGTAATGAGCTGTAAAGTTTTTAATTATTTCTGTACAATACTAAATTACTGTAATATTGTATTATACATGCGATGCAGCCTGCAGTACCTAAATAAACTCCTTCTTTAGAGCCTGGATGTCTCGGCTTTATTGATCCAGCTCGCAGCACCAAAACTTTCAGATGCATTTCCCAGCACGACGACGGGAGCAGCGTTCCTTGAGGGTGCTGTGGGTTGTCACCAAGTCAAATGAGGCTGTTTCCTCTTGTTGCCTGTAGTGTTTCTTGCATTTTAGGGATCTTCCCCTAGACAAGCACAAAGCCACGGCATTACTGACCTCCTCTTTGGGGCCTGGAGAAATACCCCCATGCCTACAACTATTGGGTGTGGGAGCTCTCATTACAGCTCTTTAGCAAAAGAGGAAAGCTGTAAGACTTCCCTGCCCTCGCACTGACTAAAAGCAGGTGCTGTGCTCCCTCCCCAGGGTGCTGCAGCCCATTCAAGGGGCTGTTGATGCTGCGTCTGCCTTTCCTTGGTCACAGCAGGGATCTCTCTTCCCTCTGCTCTTTCTGTTCAATAGGTTGTAAAAGTCCACTGCTCCAAAACTGGGCAAAAAAAAACAAAAAACAAAACAAAACAAAAAAAAACACCAACACAACAACAAAAATCTCTTTCCATTGCTCCTCGGGGCTCTCCTTGCATCATCCCTCCGAGTGCTGATGCTGCTGGAGGCTTCTGCCTTCAGGCTGGGGCAAGTTCTGGGGCTTTGGGCAGGTGTTCCCTCCAGGTGCTCATTGTCTCTAATTAAGATAATGGCAGTGAATCAGCACTTTGAGAAGACCCTCCACTGCTGTGGCCTACTTCAGATCTTGTGTCCCAGAACAGACCCAGGGCCCTCCTCATGGTACTCTGGGGTGGGGGGAACCGGGGGCTTTGCTGTGGGGTCAGGGGATTATTCACAGCCCCCCTAGGGGATGCTCCACGGCCTTGGGCTCGGGGAGCTCTCCCAGGAGCAGCCCCCGGCCCCTCTCGGGGCAGCCTGTGCCAGGGCTCCGGCACCCCTGGGCCCAGCAGTGCTGCCTGAGGGGCAGGGGGAGCCGCCGGGGCTCCAGGCTGGGCCCGGGGCCTCTGGGCCTGGCCCTGGGCAGCGCTGAGCAGAGCCCGGCTCCGGCCTCTCCGCACCTCCCTGCGGGTACTGACGGCCATGGGGGAGCTCCCCCGGAGCCTCCTCTGCTCCAGGCCCAGCAGCCCCAGCTCCTGCAGCCTCTCCTCACAGCACGGGGGCTCCGGGACTGGCAGCACCCTGGGGACCCTCCACTGGAGTCTCTCCAGCATGTCCATATCCCTTTTCTACTGGGGGACCAGAATTGGGCCCCAGTTCTGAGCAGAGAGGCAGGGCACACACAGAGGCAGAGCAGTTGGTACGTGGGCTTTGGGGAAACCCTGCTCTTGCCAAACCTGCCTCCCAAAAAGCCTCAAGGCTGTGAGAACCCCAACGCACCCAACCTGAATTTTAGAGCACCAAGAAATCCTTGAAACTCACTTCCTAGGTCACTTTATTTTTATTTTTTTTAGTAACTTTATCAACATTTTTTTCCTCCCAAATAGAGCTTCATGTTGAAAACAACTAGCAGCGCTGGTTTTGCTTTTGTTTTCATTGTGTGTGTGTGTGTTTTTTTAAAGCAACAAACATCGTGTTGATTCCACAAATCCATGCTGAAAGTCATTTAGCAAAGGATATTTTTATCAGCGTCTTGCAATCAGTGCAGATATATGGCTTCTTTTTTTTTTTTTTTCCTTTAAGCCTATCTCCTTTAATGTTTTACCTTCTTGAAAAAAATAAAAATAAAAAACCCTTTTGCTGAAACCCAGGAGCCTTTTGAAGTGCCGTCACTTTGTTGGAGGCTCGCTCTTCCCGGAAGGGGGGTGCAGCACCTTCCCGCACCACAGCCGTGCTGCTTTGTGTTCTCCAGCCAAAGCTGCTTTTAAAAGGCACCGATCAAAACAAGCAAGGAAGAAGAAGAAAAAAACACAACACACACATACATCCACGCTTCTTTCCCCTTCCTTCCTTCAAATTAATACTGCTTTCACTGTCCTCGTTTGTCTCATCCAACATGGCCCAGCTGCTTGCTCATCTACGTGCCCAAGGGGCTCCAACCCAGAGCCCTGCTGCTTGGTTTGGGAGCCTCCACCCTGAGCAAAGCACCGAAATCGCCCTCCGGCCCTGGCTGCCCACACCGATTTTAACCAGTTACGGACCCCAAAAAGCCTTTCAGTGAATAAATCAATGACGCCGAGTACAACCAGGCCAGGAGGGAAGGGCGGCCAAAGCGTCCTCTTGCCTTTGTGGCTTTTCTAAATGGGACCTGTGCTCGTTACCTCATTGTTTTGGTTTAATTACCCAGGACTGCTGACCTCCAGCAACTCCTTGGGCACCTCCTGGCCAAGGCCAGGGTGGATGGGGCTTGGGGTAACCTGGTTTGGTGTCCCTGGAGGTGTCCCTGCCCATGGCAGGGGGTGGGAACTGGATGGGCTTCCAAGGTCCCTTCCAACCCAAGTCATGACTCTAAGAGCCCTTTGGGGTAGGGATAGGATTAGCACAGCCCCTCGGGCAGTGCTGTGCAGACAAATGGCCGGTTCCTGCAGCACGTGGTGGCCCCATGGCCACCTGCCCTGTCCCAGCCTTGCCCAAGGCTTGGCAGAAGCCTCATGGGGATAGGGACAGGGGTACAGCCACCCAGCACTGCACAGAACACCAAAGCAGCACCGTAGCATCCATCCCCTGCACTCCCACCTCAGAGACATCCTTACGAAGACGCAGCTTTCTCAAATGAGCTCATTTTTCCGTATTTTGCAAGGCAAAAGACACTGGTTTTGTCTCGCTCGCGTCCCAAGGCCTCTCCGGGGCTTTCACACCAGACAGCTTCGTACACAAAGGACTATAGGAGAAATCCATCTTTGTTGAGTTATACATTTTTATTTTCTAATAGGTACAATACTAAAATAAACACAAATTAAAAAAAAGTTTTATTAAAACAAAACTGTACAAAAAAGCAGTTATACTACATTTTAATTACAGAACAGTCTACTGTCCAAAAGGCACTAATCCAGAATAGGAGATACAATGATACAGGACTCATTTTAACTATTTTAATCAATACAATAGAGCACTTGTTTCTCTGTCCATTCACATATAGAAACAAGGACTTTTGCTACAGTCATTACACACTGTTATAAATATGAGCCCTACATGTAAAGATGCAGTATCGCTCTCCCTGGGCCAGAATTCAGCTCAAACAAGGCTAGAAATTAAAAAAAAATAATTAAAAAAAATAAAAAAAAAAAGGGAGAGAGCAAAGGACACAAGGGAAGTAGTTGATACTTCATACGTTCGCAGTACCTGCTCCCTACGGAAGATGTGACGAGTATTAACCTCACCTTTGTTTTGTAGCTGGGAACTGAAGCACACAGAAAGGTTTTTGCCTCCAGGGTTTGCAGCAAGGCTGTGGCAGAACTGAAAGGTGAGCTCACAGCACCCGATTCCCAAGGCTTTGCATTTTTTTTCCCCGCTACAACCTGTTTTATCCAGGCCTCCTAAGACCCTCTCTTCCCCTGGCCAGGTCTCTAAATAATGCATAAGGAACAATCCCCAAATGCAAGAGGGAGAAAAACGAGGGCTTTTCTCCTCGCAGCAAAACGCGGAGCAGACCCACTCGGCACCTTGCAGACAAAGGCAGTGATTCAGAGAAGATTTTAGCAAATTCTTCTTAAAAATCAGTACCTTTACTGCAAGGGGATCGAGCCATGAGCAGACGGACCTCGTTTGCTGCAAGTGCTCTTCCAGCAACGCACCCAGCTGCTGCAAAGCCACCAGAGACGCGTGGCTGGGGATGGAAGGGTGCGTTGGAAGTGGCACAGGGGAAGTGCCAGCACTGGCTTGCCAACTTGCCCTCCTGAAAGCAAAACTACGCTTCGGCAGAGCGCAGACAGCGGTGGGGAACACGAGGTCCCCAGAGCTCCTCGCTCCATCTTCCTCCGTGGTGGTGTTACCTGAGATGTGCTCCCCTGTGATGGTCACTGCTGCTTCCTGGCCTTTTCTTGTCCTCCCTCCCAGTCTGCATTACTGCTTTCTTTGCTTTCCCCCTGAAACGTCAGGCTGAGGAGCAGTAGCAAAGACACGACAGACCGTGGAGGGCGTGCTCGGAGAACACGCGTGTGCAAAGCAAGCAGCCAGCGCCGAAGATCACGAATAAATAACCACGCTCTCGGCTGAACGAGCAGCCCCGGTTAAGAGAAAGGCCGAGGCACGTCTGCAGGCTCGTGGTGACGAGGAGGAGCATTGCCCAACGCTTTCGAGGCGGACGAGGTTTAACACGCAGGCGGGAGAGGGATACTGCACCTTTCGAACAGTGTCATACACATAAGACAAAGACAGGCATCTGGATGTTAACAAAAATAAGTAACAAAGAAATATGATTAAACAAAATCTCTTCTCACATCATCCTATACTACATCCTCCTTCTGCTTAGCAGAAAATTGTACGTACACAAAAATACAAATACACAATTTTGTAGAACAGTCTGATTTTAATATATTTATATATATTTATATTTATATGAGTGGCAGGTTAGTTCATTATATAGAGCTTTTTGCACTTTTGGCTCATATGCAACAAGGCTTTATAAATTCAGCTTTAGCTTTCATTCAGGTTTTATAGCTTCTTGAACATTTGTTTTCACATTTAAAGCAGCATCCAATTTGCAAGAGGAGTTGGTGGTGGCTACAGCAAGGATCAGGTCACGAGGTTACTCGGGGGCGAGGGGGGGAATATACATTCCAGTGTGTGTGTGTGCGCGCTAGTGCTAATGGAGAAAAAAGAAAGGACTGTGACCGTATGACTCCAGGATACCAAGTTTACCTCTTGAGGTAGGCAGAACACCTACAGCAGATGAGACACGGGTGCGGTTTTCATCGGGGCACGCGGCGCGAGGAACGGACACGCGGGTGGAGGATGCCGACAGAGGGACGCACGGAGACCTAGAAACCTGCTGGCGAGTGGTGGCGGCCAGCAGGGGCTGGACACGGCTCACCCCTCGTGGTATTTCTGCGTTTGGCAGACACGCCAAGGCGGCTGCCGGCCACCCGGCCACGCACGAGAGCGCCTGGCTCCCACCCTGCGCCCACCGCGGCCGCGGAGCGAAACGAAGACAGGACCTGAAATGGCAAACCCAGCCCCCAGCGCTCGGCTAGGGCGGGCTTTTGGTCGGGGCCTTTGCTTTTCTTTGTCTCTTTTTGTGCCTCTGATGCTGTTCCGTTGGCTTTTCCCTTCTAGGTTTGCAGCGCTCACTCCTACATTAATCTTTTTTCAATTACAACCGCGGTTATTGACAATCGCTTTGTTTAGGAAAAAAAATAAAATAAAATAATCACAGTTTAAAAAAAGGCATCTCTAGAGCAGGGCAGCAGTACAATGTCAAACGGTCGGCGTGTGTTATAGGCTCCACAAATGCTTTATTTTCATTAGTACCCCAGCGATAGATTCCCATTTGATCATTGCCTGTATCAACACCCATCAACATCCTACAAGCTAATTTTCTGTTCTCTGCGAAAGAGATGTCCTTATAGCTTTTCTTGCCAATAGTAATTTCCTAGGCTTTCCCAACTCATGTGTTATTAAGTTGTCAGAGTGAAAACAACATTTTGTTACTAATGAAAAATAAAACATCTACATATGGATTGCTTTCATTTTCGGAATCCTTAAGTGGTGCTAATACATCTTAATAGTGTTCTGTTATTTTTATTTCCTTTTACTATGGTCAGAAGAAATTCTTTAATGCAATTTTTTTTTTTTTTTAAACTAGCATCGATATCTATCTTTAATTTTACCCACATAAAATTCTCCTGTATGTTTACAAAATTACAACCACCTGCCAATAGTTAAATTACTTTGACAAAAACGCTTAGCAGGTGCCACTATTATAAGCCTAGAAATAATTAAGAATATAGGAAGAAACTGCCTCTGTGATTCCAAAACGGGGTGATTAAATATGCTTATTAGCCACTTCTACCCAGAATCTCAGACGTACGGGCATCCAGAGATGCATGATTAATGCACGAAGCTATTTGCATCTGTAATCCAAGAGGCAGCTTCCTACCAAATTCTCTCCAAGCTTCCCCCTCTTCCCCGTCCACCCCAAACTGGAGATTGCTAAGGTTTGGCTGAGGAGCAAGATTTGTTAAGGAGTTCCCCCTGCCAACAATTTTTAGGCTGAAAACCGAGGGTGGGCAGCACGGGGAAGGAGTGGAGATTTTTTTCCAGCCGGGCTCCGGATCCCTGCTGCTCCTCGGGAGCCTCACGTGCGGGGGGACTGCAGGGAGGGCTCGTTTCTTAAGAGGGAAATGAGGTCTAATCCTATTCCTCCAGCTCACTCTGGAGTCCTGTTACTCACTTAGGCACTTTTTAAATTGACACTAAGAAAAAAAAAATAATAATAATTAAAAAAGTACTGCACATATTTCACACTTCCTGGGCTTTCACGGGCCTTGGGAAGATCGTAGAGACCAAGAGGGAGACAGCCAAGGCGATCTGTCAAGAAAATAGTGCTCCCCACGGACACAAGTGACTTGTACTTGTCACCCTCTGATAGAACTGCTGTTGAACTAAATCTAGGCTAGATTTGTTACTCCTGTATTATCTTTAAGGTAAAAAGCCTGTCCTGCAGTGGTCCTGTGGCACCATGCTAGCATGTTATGGTGTAGGAGCTGACACCTGACTTCCAGAGAGGCACGGGGCTCTCCCAGTCCAACCCAGTGGTGCTGGGCACCCGTACTGGTTTGAGCCAGCGCTGCCCTTCACCTCCAAGAACAATCCTGATGGCAAAGTGAGGGCTGGCTGCTGCTGAGATATGGAACTACGCTGCTTACACCACGGCTAGATCCAAAAGTCTTGTACTGCAACGGGTGATGACACGGAAAATCTGCCAAAAAACAACAGGGCTCTGACCCCAAAGAATCTAGAAACGAGTCAAAAAAATTTCAGGTCAGCACAAGCCTCCACATGCCACCTAAATGGATGCAAAAGGCAAAGAGAAAGAGAAAATTCAGTGGGTAGTGCTGAAAGACGGGCAGACCAAACTCCAATCTATTTTCATGACGGCATCTATTTGGAAAACCCATTTCATTTCAAGTCTCTCTAATCATCTTCATATCTAAAACAAGTTAAAAAAATTAAAAAGCAATTGGGGCTAACAAAAGGGCCCCAGTACACAGCCACTTCGGCGAGGCCAAGCAAATCTGTGCATCCTGTCCTAAACCCTCGCAGTAAAAAGCAGGCGACAACACACTAACTGCACCAATTAATCCAGCTTCCAACACAGCTTCCAACAGTAAGTGCAAGCAAGACGCAATAAAATTAAAGAAAAAAAATGCTACTACCTCTGTTAACCATGGTCCAACACCTGGAACTACATTTTTTTCACGTAGGAGGCCTCAAGTAAAGCCTGCTGGAAAAGGACTGAATGTATGAACTCTTTTCTTTTTAAATGGTCACAGTGGACTCTGGAAAATGTTTCATGTTTAGACTTCACCGTGGACAACAGATATCTGGACTTCAAGTAGGCAGTTGATACAGCACCATCTCATAGGCAGAAGGAAAGGTGAAGCTGCGATGACTTGGACTGAAGTATTAAAAGAATTTAGAAAACACCTAACTATAAATACACCGCCTGATGTTGAGAAGGTAATAAAGTGCCTGTAGAGGAAAAGAGAAGAACGAGGAACGAGAGGAATGAAATTCAAATGGCAGAAGTCACCAAAGAAAGGGGAGAAAGGGCACAGAAAGCAACCGGTCAGTCCCAAGGGGAGTGGGAGAGGCACCAACCTATAAGTGGCATAGGGAACAAAACCAAACAGATAAACCTGAGCACTCTAACTGTGTGCAAGAAATGTCAAATTACTCTGTTAAGAACAGCCACATCTGTGAAATACCTGTATTTTTCCAAGTTAACTCGCTAGAGTTATCATTGAACATCTACTGAAGTGCAAGGCGCAGTGCCAGTCTTCCCAGTAAAAAAAGACAGTCCCAAGATTAATAAAAAAAAAAGGTTATACTTAGAAGTTCCTGTGTCCCTGATTTGTTGACCTAAGCATCAAAACTAAAAGGAGGGAAGGGAGGAGTGCTGCCAGCTAACCATGCTAAAAACCCCCCGAGGTCTTTTGGAGAGCAAAAAGCTCAAAAGTTTTCAAAAGATTTGGAACCAAACCTAAAATTCAGTACTGGATGGCTCTGTTATTAGCATGGAAATCACAAATATCGCTTAGTTTGAGGCTGTATGACCACTGGGTTCAGGTTAGAGCACATCGGTGTAAGAAAACCACTGGTAAACCAGGTAAAATGGATTACCGAGGCGAGAAGGAGCTTGGCTGAAAGACAGAAGAAATAATCTCTATGAAGCAACACAACTAAAGTTTGGGAAAGAATCGCGTGAAATTCGGTACCAACAAGAATCGGCTGCAGAAGAAAGCGAATGGCTTAGAGCAGTGGAAGGAGGTGCAACTCAAAACATTCGTCTGGAATTCCTTTGGGGAAGTAAAGGCTCAGTGTAAGAAATAATTTCAGGAGGAGACATCAGTTCAGCAAGACGACTTCTGCTGGCTGTGATATTTTTGAAGCGCTCTGGCAATTGATAAAAGCATTTGTAAAAACAGCTGCTCGAGGCAATGCAGCTACAGGAAATGGTCACGATTGATCAACGTTTTTTCATGTTAAATAATTTTTATGTTCAATCTGCCCAGGTAACAATGGAAAACATCGCAAGGTACCCTTAACAACTGGAATTCATGTACCCAAATGTCTGATGTAGAGAACAGCAACAAAGAAGTTAAGATTAGAAATTCAGACTGACCTGGTCTGGATTTTGGTTGAGTTCTTTTTTTTGCTTTTACACGAGAAGGAAAAACAAAGGTTGAACAGAATAACGCTGTTCCAGAGCTACCAGAGCTGCTCGACAAGGCTGGGAGGATGTATCGCTGTCTCAGCAGAACAGACACACTGAATCTGTAAGATACTGAAGCAAATCTAAGTAACACAGCAGCATACATAAACCACCTTTTATCACGTCTACATTTGTTTGATTCCCATTATGGCAGAAGTACAAAGTGTAAAAAGGTATTTATCTTATATATAACTGGAACCTCCCATGGTTTAAGGCACAACATGTTCTCTGATGGCAAGTCACACTTTTTAAATGAAGTTCGTACTGCAGAGAACCCCTCTAGTACTCAAATCTCTACAAACGATTAAATACTAAGAACAGGTTATAACTGTAAGAGTAGAAGACAAGCCTACCTCTTTGGAATCAGAGTTTTACGATTAAGGCCAGAAGGGACCAGTCTACAAGGAGACCCTGCATATCACCTGGGTTCTCAAATATCTGATGCAAACTTCCTACTCTGTCATCATCCAGTGGGATGAATGAACCATCCTGCCCTTCCAAATGCAAAAAAAATAAATAAAATAAATCCCCTAAGGGTTTATAAACATAAACGGACTTCCCACCCCAACACATTTACAAATGCCTTCTTCATGTCCATGGATACTTCACTGACTTCTTCTAATCAGAAGTTTGATTTTCAAGCTTGTTTCACTGAATTGAATTACTGACAGTGCAACCGCAGGACAGTTTTGTTCCTGCTCTGCTGTAAATCCTAGCAGGCATTAACTGAGTGTTGTTGAAATCTAGGGGCAATTCTCACCTGGAGTTAACTCTAGTAGCTCTGCGAATGGGAGGATCTATTCCCTAATCTCAGATAGTATTTACTGTCTCCAAATACCTGGAGAAACAGGGCTGTGATTTTAAAGAGCTCTAAAGGAAAGGAAAAGAGGCAGAATTAAACTGCTCCTGCCCAGTGAGCAGCTGTGTGCTTAGCTAAAGTGACAGGCAGCTACCCCTACGACGAAAAGCACGTCTCAAAATTCCAACAGCAGCTCCTCATCATGCTATAAGGTGTGCCTGGCCCAAAGAAACACACATTGATATCTCAGAGCATTTAATAAGCTGCTTCAGCTATCTCACAGAATCACAGAATCATCTAGGTTGGAAGAGACCTCCAAGATCTCATCAATAAAGCCCCTGAGATGTTCACCTTTCTCCACCAGTAATCACACCCTTTGCACGGTGTACCTGGCCTTTCTCAGCATCACATTTCCCCTTTGCCATGCTGAACCCAGTGTAGCTCCATCTCAGAGCAGCCTACTCAAGGCAGACAGGTGAAATGTTCTCACTGCTGCCTTCCACTCCAAAATTTCATCAAACCTTTTGAGCAGAAGGCAGCCTGAATGTGCCCGGGGAGTGCCTATGCCCTTTGGTCTGCCTACTTGCCATGAAGTATAGATGAAAACCTTGCACTCTGGTATAGGAAAAACTGGTCAGTGAGTTGATATTGCGAGTCCCTGGCTCTGGTTAACTCCTGCGTGATGTTTTCAATTCTGTCACTACAGCCCTGTCAAAGAGAGATAGCAGCAACGTTACCAGCTGACAGGCAAAAAAATCCAACGCCAAATGTGCTTTGAGGAATGGAATACATGCTCAATATTCTTACTGTAATGTATCAAGAAATATTAATTAATCGTTTGCTTTCATTAAGTCTTTGTCCTCCTTGAGCCATTTGACAGATAAACTTTGTAAGTAAAATGTGTTTTTCAATCTGCAATGATGTAAAATACATCTCAGAAGGCTGAAGTCAAGCTCTTAATTACAGAGGTGGGATATTTAAGCTACATATGCCATCTTGCCATAGAATGGAAGACTTTAATTAGTTCAGGAGAAGAGGTGGGAAGAAGGATAGGAAGCTGTATCAAGGCTAGCGACAGCAGCACGTTAACACCCCCAAATTTCTGTCCTAGGAAAGAATTTCCTACCATTGCTCCTGTGAGTAAGCACCACCAGTGCTAACGGTGCTGGAAGAAACAAGTACCCAAGACCCATAGATCTGTTCTGAACCACAGTGACAAGGGATGAGATCTGCAGAAGTGTTTCAGTACAAAGAAGCTGAAAAGCTTTAAATAAAGAAAACTGAATAATTTCTTTAGTTTCTTTAAATAAAGAAACTGAAAGCTTTAAATAAGAGCCTGAATAAGTTAAGTTCCTACCTCCTTTGCAAATCTGATGAAGCTAGGAACACGCTGACTTTTCTAAATGTGACGAGGAGTCTATAAATGCACCTTTACATACCGAAAAGCTTCAGAAACTTGTCTGAGATAAGTAGCTACAGCAGGAGCACGACAGAAAGGAGCTACAGCAGGAGCACTACAGAAAAATAGGGTCAAAAAGTTCCCAGGCAGGCTCTGCAGTGCTCAAGACTGATCAGCAGATACCGTTTTTCAGAAAAACAGAAGAGAAAGGCACCTAACACCCTACAAGAGATGCCTTTTCAGAATCTGGCAATGTATTGCAGAGAGATGATGATGTAATTAATGACAGGACATCACCACAGCTCCTCTCCTGTTGTATGGCAGAATACCTTTGAGGCCATTATCCAGCTGCAGGATCGTTGAGATTTCTTAAGAAAAAGGTGAGTTAGCCCCAAAGAGCACCCTAAGCACAACAGGAGACAGCAGAGGGCTTCAGGACAGCACAGCTACATACTTGGTAAGGCTTCCGAACTGAGACCCTACAAAAGATGACCTCGGGTGGCACAGAAGAGCCAGCTACATTCTCCGCTTTGGGAACGGGATGCTAACAGTGCAATCGGTACTCTCCACCTGCAGGCAGGGTGAAAACACAGCACCAGTAATTCAGTGGAGGCCTGGACCATGGCTAATCTTCCTGAAAACGACTCGACAGCCAAGTGGCAAAGCAAGAGGAGCTGATCAAGACCCTGGGTAACTTGCAAGCACACCGTCACGCGACCAAATGGTAGTTTTGTTTCTAAAAAAAAAGTATAAAAACAAGAAGAGGAAAAAAAAAAAGAAAAAAATACATCAAAACCATAAAAAATAGGAGAATCAGCTTTGCATAGAAAACCAAACTCAGTTTCAGTCCCTGCTGCTATAAGGTACCGTTGGGAGCAGGTCATTATTTAAGTTTACGAAGTAGCTGTTCCAAGTGTCACTAATAACGCTGGTATTAAAGAGAATTAGGGGGAAGAAGATCTTCTGTTTTCAATCACAGAAAGACAGAAATCCTTTTAATTATGACCATGCCAATCCACATCTTTCTAAAGCAGCTAATTACATGTCAGGAGGACACCCAGTCATTCAAAAGACCTGCCATTACTTTCCCTGCCACACACTTAGGCATTTATCTACCCATCCCAATTACCCTGCCTGCAATTTGAAAGGATTTAGCAGAAGCGTGCTGGATGTTTTGATCAGCAGAACACACCCGCTTCCATTTAACAGGAGAGGGAAGAGAGGGAATGAATGGTGCAGAGCCTGCCAAGCCAGCTGAGAGAGGCACGGCAGGGCCATCGTGCACCTCACCCTATTGCCAAGGGTTGGGTTCATTCGTGCTGAAGCTGCTGGCCAGAGCACTCCAAAGCTTACTGGGAAGGACTGGGAAGAGCCCAGCATGGCAGCAGCCAACCCAGTTAGTCGGTTTTCTTCTCCAGCCTGATTAAAAGGGGCATTTAAAGTGAGTTTGGGGGAGTTTTCACCGACCAGACCTAAAATGGCAAATCCTTGGCTTATCGCCCAACTACTACGCTGATAAGCACCTTGCAGACATCATAGATGGTATCTTGAAAGAGCAAAACGTATTTCTTCACTTTTCCCAGTCAGTACGAGCTAAAGTACGACCTGGATTTTCACGGGGTGGGTGACCTTACCCAAAGCAGAGCAGTTTTGTCCCAATTGCTGTAACGGTGCCAACGCCATCGGAGCTACCGCATCACCTGCACAAAAACAGGCACAAACAATCCCAAGCTACTTTTACGTGGCAAAACCTAAGGCCAAGGTTAGCCACGAACAACTCATCAGAGGTTTGAATTTTTCTCCCTACATTTGTTTCACTGGTGCCACCGAGGATACTTGCATTTATTTCATTTTCTTTGCAGTTTGCTGGACAAAAACCAACACCAAAATGCTGTCGGCTCACCGACAGCCCTCAGAACGACCACGTCCACTTTTGCAGTTATAACACATTTCTCACAAAGGCGAGAAATAATTTTTGTGTGTTTTAAATTTGAATTTATAGCTGCCATCTCCAGAATGCCTCGTTTCATTCATGTGCAATATCTTTAATTGGACAGCTCAAAGCCTATAAATTAAAAAAACACTCGCAGAAACTAAAATGAAGGGTTTGGGGCTACGCCGTTCAGCTTGCCAAATGCCCACTGGCCGGTGACCAACTCAAGGTCCTGAGAAAAAATCCCAGCTGCGAAAAGGCCCAAGGGGGAAATTTTGAAATGTCTCAACTCTTCGCCTTAGAAACTGCAAGGTACTTTTGGCCAGGCCATCAACCTTCCCTTCCAAGAAGTCACGGTGAAAATTCCTGACTCCACGAACTTCCATTCCATTAGCCAGTATCGTGATACAAACCCGAATACTCCTACTAGGAGGCATTAATACACACAAGCACAATCTACATCTGCCTAAGAAGAAGAGGCATATGTTAGGTCGCTGACACAGAGCACATTTTTTCAAGACCAATCTCGCCAACAAAAATTCCTGCCAAATGCTACACTAAACTCAAGATTATTGCCTACAAGCTTGAGATTTTGCTCAAAAGAATATTACCAAGTCAAGTAACTTCAAAGAGTGCAAGAGCTACTTGGGTGGGAAGCCCTGTCTAAAATAGAAGCAAAGTTTATTTTGACATAAAAAAGTAGAAGTTGCTGGTAATTATCCAACAAACTTGAAAAAAGCTGATGAACCCTGGGAATTAGGGTAGGAGGAAGAACAGAAACTTTACAGTAAGAAAATTATCTGAAATGAGGAGAATTGCAGGGATAAATGGGAAAAAATACATATTGAAAAAAAGAAAAAAAAATCCACAGTTTGCTCACAGTACTTTGGGCAAAATCTATCACCTGAATCTTAGTAATTTACAGAGAAACGTGTGAATCCAGCTTTGCAACAGCGTTGAAATTACACACAGCAAAACAAAATCCTGCATTAAATGCTTTTGGGGCAGCATTTTTGAGTTTTGAAAACTCTTATACCAATTTTGCTGGTTTTCTCTAGGTGGAAAATAAAGAACCTTCTCCTTATGAAATCCTGTTACAACCACCATGCGTCTCTGCGTGACTCAGTGACCCAGGTGAAAGGCCAGCACGATGCTTTCATTTTACTTCTTTGCAAGCAGCAACTCATTGTGAAGGTAAAACCATTACACCACATAGGGGAACTGAAAATCTTGAACTCATCTGCACCTTAAAGCCAGGAGTCATGCTTGGGATAATGATTCCATGCTGTTCCGTACTGGCAAACACCATCATGAGTTGTTTTCAAAATAACATCTAAATCAGACCTAAAATTTCTCTAGTAGAGTATATTTTTTGTTGTTCTTTTCTCTTTTCTTTTTTTTTTTTCCCTAGCAGTGGCCAACAGCAAACACTTAAGGAAATAACGTGAAGCTCTAAGCATAGATCTAACCTACAAGACCAGATCTTCTGAAAATCACCATTTAAAGATCTACTCAACCAAAAATTTCTAGCTTATCACAGTAGTCACCTGCGGGCTTAAGTTAAGTATTTTTTTTTCCTCTAACATGTTCAGCTATGTGAAAATTTTCAAGTCTACACTCACAGCAGCAAGACAATGACAAATCCTCTCAAAGGCAAAAAGGAATCTGCAGCGCAAGCGTTACAAAAACATGGAGAACTTACCAGTTTGATGTAAGCCAATGAAACAAACAAAATCATTAAAATATCCCTGAAGAACTGTGTAAACAGAGCAAATAATTAATGACATTTATTACTTGATTTATGGCTTGATTAGAACCTGTAGCCAGACCCTGCAAATAAAGCTCATCTCTGTTAGGAGAATACATGAGATAACTTTTTATGAATAGGAAAAATAAAAATAAGAATAAAAAAAAAAACAACAAGCTAAAAGAATTTCATTAAACAAGTGAACACATACGGATCAAACTCCTTGACCTGAGCACAGAAGTCACAGAATAAGTTTGAGCAGAAGAGACCTCTGGAGGTCTCTAATCCAATCCCCAATCTCGTCCAGTTGAGTTTTGAATATCCCCAAGGATGTGGTTTTCACTGCCTTTCTGGGCCACTGTTCTAGCACTCTCAGTGTGAAAATATTTCTCTTTCTGCTCATTTGGATTCTCCTGATTGCAACTTGAGCCCACTGCCCCTAATATTTTCGCTACACGCCTCTGTCATCTCTAAAACTACCCATTACGACAGCTGAAGAGCAAAATAAGATCTCCCTAGGCCAGCCTGAAAAAAACCATCTCTCTCGTTCCTTGACATGTGCTCCAGCCCTCGCATCTCAGCAGCCCTACAATGGACTCACTCCTGTCCAAAACTGGACACAACACTCCAGATGTGCTCTCCCAAGTGATGAAGAGAGGGGCCTAATCATTTTCCTTGACCTGCTGACAGCTCTTCCTAATGAGGTTCCTTAATTGCTGCAAGGGCACGCTGCTGACTCATGACCAACTTGTTCACTGTCCAACGTATGAGTAATGGGATCACGCTGTACCAACATCTATGCTTAAAGCGTAGTAGATGGCTCTACAACTCTAGGGCATCAATGGATAGTATTTCTTCTTGCTCCTATTTTTTTTTGTTGTTGTTGTTATTTTTTTCCAACTCATACGGCTTTTGTAAGTATCTGGGATCTCACACTTTAGGAAAAAGACATGGAGAATTCAAAACAAAACCAAAAAAAAGAAGTAGAGGTAGAAATCGTTGTTTTAAGAAGACTGTTAGAGACAACAACTCAAGTATAAGGACTTTATCGGCCACAAAATAACAGCCAAAGTTTACCCTACAAAGTTAAAAGCAATCTGTGCCCATCACAGAAAAGAAGCATCTTGAAAAGTGTCTTCTCTATTCACAGAACAAAAAGGTAGATCTAGCCTGCCACCAGATCCACTACACAGGAATCCACGTGAGAACGAGCTGCAGTCATTCCTGGTTGGCTACAACAAATTGCCAGTGAATTGCAATGCTACAAAACAGACCAAAAAAACTAAACGGGCTCAGTTATCAAGAAAATCCAGATCCAGAAAGACAAAGACAACTTCCCATACTGCAGCAGAAAACCTAGAACGAAGTCTAAATCCCGGGATGCTTTCTCCACCAGTTCTCCCAATTACTCTAGATCTAATCTAGGTGCAGGTCTCCTGAAATCATCACACCAACATCTGTTCCATTTAAGGTAATTCACATCAAACCAGAAAATATTTAATCAACTGCAAATTGTCCTTTTTGAGCTTTCAGAATAAAGGAAACTGCTGTGAGCATCCTGATGTCTTACTCTTTCCTCGTACCTTTTGTAGGCAGGTGCAAACCAAGGTGAAAAAAATGAAACACGCCACGGAATTCTTTTAAAATACATTTTTTTAGGACAACTGATTGCCTAGTTAAGTCATTTGTTATTTCCTCTGGTGAGAAGATGCTGGGGGAGAGCAGCAAACTGATGTATACCTGGAAGCTACAGACAAGGAGAACCTGGCAATCTCCAGTTGCTCACAAGTGGTTTATCTGTTTAACCTTCATCCTGGATATTGATGCACGATGAGACCAGCAGCTACCTGACACTGACAGACAGAATTAAGGCCAGATTATTCTACATCAGATGGTGCAGACATACAATTTTAGCGGTGTTACTTTGATCCTGCATCACACGGACCAAGGATGTTTTAGTACTATTTTTATTCTTTCCTATTGCTTTAAAAAGGCAGTGCTTGAAACAATGACTTTTTTTTTTTTTAAAGATGCTATAGTAAGCAATATTTCTTTTAAAATTGCAGCTGTCCAACAGTTTGAGTCTGTTCTTTTTAAAATGAAACAGCCAGAACAAATGGTGGTGGCAATCCCAACATAAAGAGGCCATCGATTATTAAAATCTCCTTACTATAAATCGTGGATGTTGCTTGTCAGCTTGGTGTGTGACTGTAGTATGAATAAGAAGGTAAAATTCCACTAAGGCTATAGTTTGCTTGATCATTCTGCTGTGCAAAAATAGAAAGAAAAGCTCTCCTCCCGTCCTTTCACCCCTTAGTACCAAAACATTCATACACGCGTTAAGTAAAAAACTGCAATGGTGCAATGGTAACTGATCCAATTCCTTTTTTTTTTTTCCTGAGTCTGCCCTGATGCTACTTACGAATTTGCCTACTCAAGAAACTGCAATAAAACAGAGAAAGACGGCTTCATTCTGCTTCAGTGATCTATACCTAAGGAAAGCACATAAATTTTCCAATGAAATCCATAAATGAAAGACGAGGCCAAGCTCTACCTATTTATCTTCCAAGTTACAGAGACAAAGAGGTGCCAACTCTGTGCCCTCTGAAAGCACAAAATCTCCTCCACACTTACCTAAGCAATTTTTGCGAGATTAACAGATGTAAAGATGATCTAGTTAGCCTACACCTTGGAGGGGTTTAGGCTGCCTAAAAACCTGCTGAGGAACCACATTTTAGGAATTCACAATGCTATCGGAGCGTTATGCATGAGGAAGGGAGGGAGGAGGAGAACAAACCAAGTAATTGCAACTTCCCTTCATCACCTCCACCTTCAGAAGTGGACGAGAGAAGAAGGAAGACCATCCTTCAAAATTAAGCTATTTTCCCCTCTTAAGCTATTCCCACGTAAACGTAAAAAATGGAATGTTGTGGAAACACTATGCAAATTTTTATATATCTATATAGAAAAATTTACATAGTTTTTTTTTTTTTCTCTTTTTTAAACGTAACACAGTCCTGCCCGTCTCTAACACTTCCCGTGCTGTTTCCATTGAAATGTTTCCTCTTACCGGCAGCAACATATCATTTTATCAGGATGCCAGGAGATCATTTCCACACAATGCCAGCAGATGTAATTTTCTTAGATGCACACACAGTTCATCATTTAGATACTAGATGACAAGGTGATCGCAGGGTGACTCTGTAATGCAAGTTTGCTGTTTGGCATTTTGAATTCTCAAATGATAAAAAAAAGACTTATCAAATATAAATATCTTTAAGAAAAAAGTAACAAAAGTGCTACATATGATCAAGGAAAACAATTCCATTAGTTTCTGCTACTTAAAGTAGGTTTGCTTTACAAATATTACCACATCCATTATCAGTATGGCTTCCAATTATTAATTAAATTGCTCGTAGCAGTATAGCTTTCTCACATCTTAACAAGGACAGAGTAAAGAGAACACAAAACATTCACACCCCATTTCTCAGGTAAGAGATCCTCCTGCCTTTAAGCAAATACAAAAGTTCGTATTTAGGAGAATATTTATGCTACGATGGTTAACTAGCAAAGGTCAGATGCAAAAGTTCTCCAATAACCCTTTTTTCTAGTTGGGGCGTAGGCATTAGTTACACAGACGTGTAAAAATTCACTCACCCATTTCATGACCATAATACCTTCCTGGAAAACATTGCTTTTGAAAGTGGCAAAGTGGAGAAGGGAGTAGGGTGGGGACAGAAAAGGTGAGAGGAAGAATAAAAAGTGAACTTGTTAGTGACAGATCAATAGAGTCTAGACCTCTTCTGAGCAGGCACTGCTAGCCATGCCAAATAATGAATAGTGGTTTTGAGAAGTGGACTGTTGTCCATTAGACATTCAGCTCATTTTTCATATGATCCCAGGCTGGGCTTCAATCATGGTCCCAGAGGCAGAAGGCAGTACTTATCCACTAAGCCACGCAGCTTGTGAGAGCAGAGGATGTCTGTGTTGAATATGTGAACATCAACCAAAATATGTGAATGTGTTTCCAATGGACATTCTCAGCACAGCACCCAAAAGTATATCCAGTCACTGTATGACCAGTGAGGCACAGCTTATTGCAGCTGGAAATCATTTATTCCCATGCTGAAAGTGGGGTTTCTAGTGTTCTTTTTACTCTCTGTTGATAATCCCAATCTGGTGTCCATCGACCCTGTGCCACTACCTCAGCTTGCATCCTTTCAGTCTCAGAGAAGGAAAAGCATACAGACTATTTTTACACAATCTCTACGGGTATCCAAGATTTTAAGTGTAGCCTAAGACTTGTAATTGAGGACTGTCTAAAATACCTGGAAGCACTTTGAATGCTAAGACAGAGCAGCAAGATTTTTCTAGCCACTGGGGCTGGGAGAGGGAGGTTGGTTGGTTGATTGATTATTTATTGGGAATTAATACTGAGAGAGTATATGCAAAGGCTGAGGGCACCATGCCATCTTCACAGAACAAGACCCTAACAGCTAACTGACGTACAAGAAACTGCAAAGTTATACTGTAAGAACACATATTAAGGACCGAGGAAAGTCTGCTAAGGTGCTACGTCTAAAACTAAGTTACTTCTCGCTCTGACCCTCCCCCTTCTTCGTATCAGTCGTCGTCTAGAGCCTCTGTCTTGATCTCGTTGGCTCCTTGCCGGGCCAATGCCAAGATGGTGTGGTTTACCGCTGCCATTTCCACGGCTAACGAGATGGGGTCTTGGTGGTCACTATGGCTAGTGCTGTCATCCTGCACGGGCGGAAACGAGAAAAGAGAAGCGTGGTTACTCCACAAGCAGAAAAAAATCAGGAAAAAAAGCTAGGGTAGAAATAATGGGCTAGGGGCAGCAAACTGCACGTTTGTTGCAGGGGTACAACATGAAAGGAGTACACACAACTGATTTAGGACTAATTTCCCTCACTGTGCAGACAAAGGTAAGCAGGGCATGGAGTGGTGTACCCAATTTCTGAGAAATAAATTTAAGGCGGGGGTGGGAAGGGAGAAAATTTGGAGAAAAATACTAAATTATAAAGATAAAAGTGATATACAACGTATGTCAGGAAACCAAACTAAGGCAGAAACCCACTGCACAAGTTCATGCTACGCTTGCATTTTGACTACTGCATACAGTTTTGGGCATCCCGTTTAAAGAGGAGATGGGAGAACTAGAAAAGGCAGCAAGAGTGGCAACCAAGAGGAACAGAGGCATGGGGTGGCTCCCTTACAAGGAGGGAATAAACGGACCTAGACTCCTCAGTTTGGAAAAGAAATGGCTGATGGTTGATGTGGTAAATGCTTATTCCAAATAATCAGTAAACAGGGACCAATTGTTCACTACTTCTGACGATCTAATACGCAAGGGTGCTCACTGAAATGAGGAGCTAATATATTCTGGAGCAGCGACAGGAAGCAGCTCTTCACTTATCACAGATCGGTTGTAGGATTCACTGATTTTTAGATTAGCCCAAAGTAAAAATGGCTTTAATAAGCGGGGTTAGACAAGTTCATGGAAAATTTGTCTACTGGTAACTATCAAAAAAGGAAGTGGATTCACTGCCTGGCTCAGGAAGTTCCTCCAAACTACTGCCTTCCAGAACCTGGAAGCTACTATAATAAAATCAGTCTATAATTGTCCTGTTCTTTAAAAATATTTTTTCCTGAAATATTGTTACTGACCTCACTCAGAGATAGGAGGCAATCCTAGACTTTGGTCTGAGTCAGTATCCTATGAAGAAATTGAATTCACATGGGAAATGGGAAAAAGATGCTGAAAACCTCCTAGACAGGTAAGGAAAACAGTGCGAGGATTTTAGGGGACTGGAACTACCATAATTCAAATATTTGGGTGAACAGCCTGCCAAATTCACCAGTCCACCGAACTGAGTGCCATGTATTTCTGTAAGCAAAACTAATACAGGGGAAACATGCTACAGGACTGCAATGAAACCTTTAAAATAAAGGAGAAAGAAGGGTTAACTTTGGCCATGGATTATCAAGCCAAAATTCTACTCTTCTAGCATAATTTTTAAGTGAAGTGGGCATGTGACTGAGTCTAGATCAGAAAGAGAGCTTGGTTTAAAATAATAGGAATGAGAACGAGCAACATTCAAAACTAATTTCAGCTGTCAAATAACTTCATCTGGGACGTTGGGCAAAATCCTGGTGTTTTCCTCTCTTTAAAATGTGGCACTAATAGTGATCACACATTGATTTGGGCATTATAATTTTTGCAGAAAGCAAATGATAAACATTTATCAGTCTTCCAACAGCCGGTAAGTGATGAACATGGAAAATTTAAATTTTAAAATGTGCATTGTATGTTTTTAAATTAAGATGACAGGTGGCAAATGCTGAGGGAGACGGAAAAGACGGGATTTGGTAAAATCCAAAGTTATTTAAAGGAATGCATTCATTTCCAGCAAATATAGGGCAAATATCGGGATGTCATCTCAGTAATCTTTACCATGGCAAGAAACACAAAGTTTCAGAGTTCTAGTCATTTCATTAATATTTGGATGAACTTTGTATTTTGAGTTTTACTAGAGTTTAAGTGCTACTGTGGAAAACAGATTTTATGGTTTTAACAGCTAAGGGATGTTAAATGGTCATCAGGAGAGCTTGCCATTTAGTCTGCTAATGCCTAATGATACTTCGTAGACTAACCCAGCTAGGTTAGGCAGAAATGTAAGTTTTAAGGACTCTAAACTAAGATGTTTAATTTTTAATATCCAATTTATTTCTGTTTTCAAAGCATTTTGGGTACCACACAAATAAAAATGTAGTTTGGGCGTCTAGATAACCCTTCATCTCAGGATCATTCCTGGATCTGATCGATAAGGAACTAACTGCACTCGACAGCAGTTTCAAAATATTTTCCAACAGTCACAGAGCTGACTCTCATCATCTGGAGCTAGCAAGGCTGGTTCCACCAAATCTACTGGCGATGACCTATTAAGGTCCTCTTAATACCCATCAAAGCCCAGTAGCTGGGAACACCTCTGCCAGATATTTGTCGTGCTGGGCCACAGCCAAGGCTGCTGGAGACTCGTTCCAGGACACTCAGTTGCTACAACACTCCACCAGTAGCCCTTGGAGAGGGAGATGTATCTATTTCTCCCAAATGAGTCAATTAAAACACAATTTGCCCACCCCAGGTGTTGGGCGTAGCACAGAACGGAGCTAATATCAAAGCCAGAACCAAGTAAATGAACTGTTCAACAAGTCCAGTGGCGTCAAGCGCACACATCCCTGATGGGTTTGGGCTAACACTGACACCTGAGGGAAAATTGGGAAGGGGATGCAATACCTGTCAGGAAGGTGTGTGAAGGAAGGGTCACCAACTTTAGGGTAGGTGAGGGCTCAGAGTGCGGGAAGGGGTATTCTTTTGCTAGAGAATTTAAAAAAGAAGTTGCTGTCAAGGGTTAAAAATAACCAAGAAAAATAGAGAATAGGCAAGAGTTAAAATGCAAAAAAAAGAAAAAATAAAATAAAGACAGATAATATGTAAACAATCCAAATAGTGGCACATTGTCACAGAATAATAGGAAGCAGGTATGGGGCCAAATAAAGATTTAGTTCATCACATCCCTTCCCTCCCACCCTTAACCCTTTGTCTGTCAGCATCTTAGGGACTGATCCTGGGCCACTCCTGATGGGTGCTCCCACAGATGAGCACGGGGAGCTCAGCACCTCACAGAGGGCGCTCAGTACCCTGTGGCAAGGTTGACAAAAGGGTTTAGAAAGCGTCCCGGGCAGGGGCTTACTGGTGCACGTGTCTGGGTGCCAGATAAACAACTCACACCAGCTGTAACACGGGCTACAACAAAGACATTTCTCGCAGAAAGAAAGAAAAGGTGAGAGAGGAACACACATGCCTAGTTTTGCAGGGAAGCATGTTGGTGCCTGGTATATTGGAGCAATTGTTAAAGACCTGCACATCCTTTCTGGAGGGTGGATAACTAGCACGGTGCCAAGGGGAAGGAGAGCTCAAGTTATGCATGGTGCACTGGGTGAGTTAACACTCTCCTAACATTTTTCATACATTGCGTGTGGCGTGAATGGTGTAACTTGCTTGTTTGGAGCAGATCCTCCTGTCTTCTTCTACCTTCTCTGCTTCTCTGCCTCCCTCTGAACATCTTCCCTCCTCCTCCCCATTGCGTACTTGCCAAGTGTCCTGTTGTATGACAACAAATCCGTGTGGGTGAGTACTGGTTGCTCAACACATTCAAACAGGGGAGCTGTGCTCTTCCACTTTCCCCATTACAATTACAGCAAAGCAAAACAAGAACACGAGACGTCTGATTTGCACGAGGCAGAGAGCCTCTTTCATGTGTCACAAGAGCTCTGCCACGTTTGGGGACGCGCGGTTGAGGCACGAGGCTTACCTGCTCTGAATAGTCATTGCCATCAACGTCGTCACTGTTGGAATGACCTCCCGGACTCTGTACATCTATTCCATGGCTCTCCAGGATTGCTGCTTCTTCGAAAAAAGCAAATGGATCCCTAATTTATCTGATGCATTAGAGTAATTAAAAGTAACTATTTTTTTTTTTTTTCAAGAAGTTAGAACAACTGGAAGAACAGAGTTAGTTCTTAGCCTCTTCCTCTTCACTCTCCAGTATTTGGGAAGGTAGCACATGTACAGATACTGGTTTGCCTGAAATCCTTCCCTGCCAACTAACAGACTTGTTTGCGAGTAAGAATCCTTGTTTTCCAGCCAGTCCTATTAGAAATTAGCTTAATTTCTAATGCACTGGAGTGGCAAAGGCATTCCCTGTAGATCTTCCCACATAGTTTGGACTGGCAGGACTTGAGGGGGGCGGGGAGTGTCTGAAAATAGATGGAGAAATTTTTAAAAGCACTTAAGGGATTTAAAAACAATACATCTTCATCTTCCAGCAGGATCCATGCATCTAAAGCTCCGTTTAGTTCTTTCCAATCTCTTTCCAACCCTCCTCCCCGTACAGCACAGATAACACACGGTACACATAAAGCTCCAGTTCCACCCATCTTTGACTACCTTTGCTGTGTTCCCCCCGAGTTGGACAGACGGGTTTCGTTTAAAAAATAAATAAATTTAGATCAAGTTTCAGTATTGCACCAAATGCTGCAGAAAGAACAACTACGGCAAAAAGCCGCAGCCAGCAAGACGGCATAACACACTTGACATTTGCAAAAACACTAATTAACAACAGGCAGATACGGATCTGCGCTCATCTCCACCTTGCAAGCTCAGTTCTGCACAGCACCTCTGTGCGTGCATGAAATTCTGCACACACTGCAGAAGTTTGTTGAGTCCTGGCTGCTAATGGGAGCTTGCTCTCATTAGGATGCCTTGTTCTTATCCACATTAGAAGGTCTACTTAGAAGTTCAGAGCTGCTTCGAATTTCCTTACGTTGAGGTATTCCAGCAAAGAACCCGTAGGGCTAGCGCTGTGAAGTGACTCGTGTTTTATCCTGATCATCAAGCAAAAATTACAACTTTGTTCCAGCCACTTGTCACAGTGCAACCCCACGGAAAGCACTAAGGAGCACAGGTGCAACCGGAATAAAAAGCTGGCTTGCGGCAGAACCTTTGGTCCTAGTGGCTGTATCTGAGACGTAAAAAAAACTCATTTGGACTCTTAGATCCCTGTGGGGTCTCGGGGATGGCAGTAAGAAAGACAACCCCACGTTTTGGCTGAAAAAACAAGTGCATTTCAGGGGGACGCAGACACAAGGAAACTTACAACCCCATAAAAGCTCCTCACAACGACCACTTCTCATTTCAACAGCACGCTAAGGTTCTGAACTCGCAATGCTCTCCATTTGCCTGATTTCCCATGCAGATATTTTCAGGTTTTATTTCAGATTTTATTTGGGGATACCCCGAGGAGCCTGAGCGTAGGGAAATACGATTCTCCCTCCGCTAGCAAAATGCTTATTTGGGTTTTAAAAACAGTAAAACTTCTTAACTGCCTCGTTTTTCCTGCACTGATGGTGGAATTTCATAAATTAAAAGAGAAAAAATCTGGAACAGCGAGATTTCTTTAAAAAAAAAAAAAAAGATTCCATATTTCTATTAAGACCATTGGACCCTCTAGTGTTGTCATTAATACAACCTGACATAATTTCCATCTCTCCTGAGCAAGTCTACGTACTGAACCTTGAAAGGAGGCTCTCTGATACATTACCGATATTGGCTCGTCTCTTGATTTCCTTTCTTCTGTTGGCAAACCAATTGTACACTTTAAGGGAGGTAACTCGCTCCAAATCCGATAACTTTTTTCCTATGGAAGTAACAGGGGAAAAAATGATAAAAGATTGTGCTCACCGGGTTGCAGAGAGAGGCAAACTACCCTTATACATCTGATAAAACTCCTGAGATACAGACAGCACTGACAAGTTATTATAACTGGGAGTGAAGAGAATTTTATGCAAACCAGAGCACCGTGCCCAGATGCCATGGTAATAAATGCCAAATATCTCTCTAAAAAACAAAGTAGCCTTTCTTCGGTTTTTAAAAATCTGAAATAGGGGAATTTCTTTGCAGCTTCAATCACCCAGACCCAGCGCCGTGGGAGAATAGAGGGCTGCTTTTCTAGTTCGAGCACAAAACTGAGATTCAAAAAACTCCAGTTCAATTCACAGCCCTGCCACAAATCGCATACCCTTGGGCTAGTTTTCTTGCTATGCGCCGCGAGGGTACAGTTCGCTGACGTGTTTTCCTCGGCAGCAGCAAACCCAGGGAAGGAATTTTGCCCCCCTCCTTTGATCTGCTTTCCTTCTGCTCCACCAGCCGCTGCTGTCGTGCTCCCACAGCGCTAATCGCAGCCTCTCGATTCTGCCAGGACGCCTTCTATCTTTTGGGAGAAGAGGCTGGGGGATGCTGGAAACCAGATCACTCGAGTGTTAAACCAGCAGCAATCCCACCCAGCAAACACTCCCTTTTCTCGATCATCAGCATCAAAATGGAAGACAGGAGGGATCCAGCACTGCAGGGACATGATGGAAAGTGGCCCTAACCCTATTTAAGGTGTTCAGGATAAGACCTTCAGTCCCCTGCAGCCTGTACAGGGATGAGGCCCCCACCACGTGCTTCAGACTTTCTCAAAGTTTTTTTATTCAGTCTTTGAAAGCCATCTAATTGCAGCAATCGGCCTCTGCAAACTTCAATAAGGAGAGATGAACTGAGTGAAAGAAAAAATTCTGGAAATCGATACCACTCGGTATTTTACCCATCCTGAGACACACCTTTTAAGCACCTTTAAAGTTGTTAAACCCACCAGTGGCACTGCCAGCACTAAAAACCTGAACTCTTTGGTCCTCTAACCTTCTGCTTCCACCATGAAAAGAGGAGAAACACAAAAGTTGCAACAAGGGAAATTCTGGCTAGCTATTAGGACAATGTGCTTTGCCATGAGAGCTCTCAGCGTTGGAGCAGGGTTCCAGAGAGGTGGGAAAAACTCTGGTTTTGGAGCTATTGAAAACTGAACTAAGCAGAGCCCCTGAGCAACCTATTCTAAGATGCTCCTGATAGACCAGATGATCACTTTCAGCCTAAATTGCTCTACGATTCTGTGCTATTCTGTGGCTGCCTCGGTGTTCAGGAGTCATACCTAGCTTTGTTTTGCATTAATTTTGATTCTGGTTGTATAAAATCTAAATACATCCAAAGCTGTTCTGAAAACTATGCAAATCTTTGGTAAAACTAAGCAAGGGCAGGCGTGTCCTGAGCGTGGGCTCACTGAACATTGCTGCTCCTCTCCCAGGTATGACTTCTCAAGGAATGGGGAAAATGCAACTTACTGACCCAAATACAGGGTCCTCCATTAACACACTGGTTCTAACATGAGAGCCCTGTCTAGAAATTATGAAGAACACCGAAAGATAGGAAAGCTGTGTTCTTTAGCCCTCCGAGGACCTGCTGCATGATCTCCACCAAGCCTCAGTCTGTGAACCTAAGATTTCCCATCTGTAAAACAGAGCCAGTAAAACCCACTTTTGTGGAGTGCAATGAAATTCTCAGATCACTGCTAAGTGCTTGTAGAAGTACTTAGAAATAACTGACCTTAAAGGATGAAAGCCTTTCAGAACATGTTTATTTTCGTAGCAATGCTGTATAAATGAAATGTTCAGAGGCACAACTTGTATTTCATATCTCAACTGGTGGGAATTTAAGTTGCAGACACAGGCATTTAGGGCTGGAAATTGCATTGACTTTCATGTTCATCCAAGTGTGGCAGCTACGCAAGCTTCTCGAATGCTCGAGAAGAAACCTACAACTAGTTGAGAACCCTAAATTGTTAGTAATAGCCACAAAATGAGATTTGCTGAATTTAGCAGGAGATGGTGAAATCTAATTGCAGTCGCCTTTGGAAAAGACATCATGATCAGCTCCTCACCTGGCTTTTGTATAACTGCATTACAGGCGTTTGCAATTTCTTCTCTCTTTGCCTCGTCCGGATATTGATTCTCATTGAAGTAACTGCAAGGAGGGGGAAGAAAAAAGTTTTTTTTCAGAAATCAGAGCACGAATGCTCCAAGCAGCTTCGCTAGAAGGTGTCAACTGCTAGTTTATGCATCACTCTTACCGAGATAATACAGACACGGTAAATTTTATGTCAACCTTTATATGCATATGGTAGTATCAGCATGCACTCGTACCCACTCTTTGGAAACTTCCCAAATGCCTCAGATAATTGAATGTTATCTCAGCATTTGCAGCATCACCTCAGCATTCGGAATATCGTAGCAGGAGATACAACAAAGGAGGCAATGCTACGAACATCGGAGTTACGACTGTCAAGCAAAGCAACGTGTTACAAGACTTCATAGGCCATGCCTCTGCCTTTTTAATTACCATTTACTTTTTTTTTTTTAACTTCTCACCCCAAGCTCAGGCAGTGTCCTACAAATGACAGCCGTTCAATGTTTACTTTGATCACTGGGTTAATATACGCACACATATACATATATACCAATATATATTATACACAAACACTCAGAAATATTGTGGATTTAGACAGATGTTATTTATATTGTACGGACAAAACTACACAGTAATACGGTAAGATTTCTAGTCAGATTTTTTTTAATCACAATTAAAAAAAACCTAGATCTGCCCCAAAACAACATATTCTGAGTATAGCATATTGTAACAGTAATTTTCTGAATAATTGTGATTTCATTGTACTTTATATGCAGTAAACATCCTATAAAAGTGAAATGAAGTAAAAGAAAAACCAGCGTAAGTGCTTTAAAAATTTTAATGAACTGATTTACATTCTACAGATCTTATCAGATCCGCATTAAAAACACCAAACAGAGTCCTGTTTACTTCAATGGACTCCGATAAGCAAGCCACAGGCAGGGACTACTCCATTTTTTCTGTAGATTGTCCATAATACATAATCCTGATAATTCTTTGATCGACTTTGATCAGCAGCAGGTTCAGATGTTGGACAGCTGCTCTTGTAATATCAGCTGGATGGCTGGAATTTATGATCTTTAAGGTCTTTCCCAACCTAAATGATTCTATGGTTTTCTTTTTTCTTTTGTAGACCATTTGCTAGTAGGAGAGTTAGGCATTATTAGGCATTTATTATTTCCCATGGTCATATTTCTCCTCTGGTGGATCTGCCCCAGCACAGCTGCTCTCTGTGGAGCAATTGGCTCTTCCCAACCTTCTTTTGAACAAGCGGTGCTAGTGCAGATCCCACTCTTTCACTCCCAGCTTAGAACCATCCACTGGAAATACAAATTTTGGACATGAGGTTTGAAATCTACGTACTGCTACTTCATCCTGTTGTTCCCGGCGTTATTTTCAGCTACAGCTATGCCCACAGCTGCCGTGCTATTTCCAAGTTGCTCTTCATTGACTAAGAGAAATCACGCATTAGCCCAGCTAGTTGCACTGTTAATGTACCTCCACTTGATTTGGCAGCTTGGAGAGCAAATAAAACCACAGAAACAGCTCCATTTTCACCAAATGAAGGGCAGGCGACATCTATACTACCAATTCGGGCATTGGAGGCAAACATATTTACACATAAACATCTACGTCTTCCCCGGACCTCGCAGAGTTGTTTTTATGAAGTAGGTCCTGAGAGACTGCCCAGAACTGTAATTCCCACTAGGCTTGAACCTCCTCTGAAAAAGAGCTGAGGTTTTGCCATTAGATGTGAAGAAAACACCTGGTTACACTTAGGTAACTGGAAGCTTTTGAATACAGAGCATTTTTATCTCTGGCACTGCCACCAGCAGGAGCATTCCCTGAACCAGAGACTTTCTTCTCACCCCAGCAATACCCCCAAGTCCCTGGGCATGGCATTTTTAAAAGTATATTCTTTCTTCTTTCAGGTATCATCCTTTCTATTATTATATCCTTTATAGTGATATATGTGCCCACGTAAACTTGCAAATTCCTGCTTAAAGGTGTGATGCTCTGCAGAAAGCATTTTTGGAGAAGGGAAAGTTGGAAAACAGCCTAGAAAATGCTTTTTCTTGTCGTTAGTGCAATTGTCTCATGACTGTGTCTCAGCATCCCACCTACAAAACAGAGAACTCCCTCCTCTGCCCACAGCCAAGAACCGTTTCCTCTTCTGAGTGCCATGAAATAAAGGAAAGTCGGGACTATTATTTATATGACTATATCATGTGCACTGGACTTGTGGTCAGGACTCCAAGTCATCACTATGTGTACAAAAATTAACTCAGCAAATTTAGGTATTTTATGGGAATATCCTTTGTTTATGGATACTCGTTAGAAGTCGAGAACAAACACCATGCAACAAAATGCCATAAAATGAGACAAACTGATGGATCTATACGATGAATTACTAAAACCAAAGGGTAAAACTCTGGTATCACGTGCCGTTATGGATCTAGATGGTCTGTGGTCACAGAGATGCTAGACAACGCCCAACTTCACTAAGAAATGACAGAAGATGCAAAATCCAAGAAACGGCGTACATCTGAGCTGCCTATCCTTATGTTGATGCAAGAAACAGGCACCAATTAATCAAGACAAGACAATACAAGAGCCACGGGTGACCTTTCTCTTGGCGTGTAGTTAAACACTAAGCTTTTAGCAAGCCACTGAGTGCCATACACTTTGGCTGGCACAAACAAGAAAAAGGTCACATTTATTATTAATAACAAAACTTCGGGCAGGATTGCAATTCTCTGAGATAACATGAAATCTCTTCTTAACTTTCAGAACTGGACAATGAATGAGACATCTCTTAAGGGAAATGAGGAAGTTTTCTTTGCGTATTCCAACCATTTTTGCAATTCAGAAAAACTCTCAATTGAAACAGGAATTCATATCTACACACACGAAGACAAAATAAGCTAAAAGTGTTTTCATTTTGATGGAAAAATAAATTTCGATCCAATCTTCTCAAGCATTTTCTTTAAACATCTTTTAATGTAAACATCTGATGGCTTCTACAAGGAAGTTGATCCCTGCTTGAAAATCTGGAACCGTTTTCCTCCTCATACCATGCTTTATGAAATAATACTCAAAATTTGACAAGTTTCCAGGCAGCTCCCCTAGGTAAACGAGACTCTTTCATGATGACCAGAAAGCTAAGGAGGTATCAGAGGGGGTCTGGAAGGGACCTGAATAGGTAAATTCAGTTTCTGTAGTTGGCACAGTAATCTTAGTACCTTCCTCTCCTTCTACCAACTGGCTTCTTCCTCGTCCATGTTCACGATGTCTCCTCCTGCCCCCATGCACTGAAGCTGCCTATGATCTTGTCCAACCCTCAACTTAGGTCGAGGGTTGGACAAGTACAAAGAAAAAGGTCACAAGTACAAAGAAAAAGGTCACAAAAGGTACAAAAAGTACCTGCCCCTGGATTTCTCCTGAGAAACATCTTCCCTATCACCATATCTTGCTTTTAACCTTTGACGGAGATTCTCAGCTGTTTTTATCAGAGAAGAGTTCACACTCAGGAATCTTGAAGGAAAAGGTCTCATAGCTCCAAGTAACTGAAAACATTACACGACTGCAACTCTAAGAGCTGATTTTCATCCTTGGCCTCCATTTACACAGTCTACTACCACATCACGTTTCTCTCCCTTCATTTATTTTGAGATCTTAATAGGATCTGTAGGTGACACGCCATGACACAAACCACAACATTTAAAGTCTTCCCAATGTTTCTGGGAAGTAGCTAAGAATAGCTGGGTTTACAAGACAGAAACCAATACAACAACAAAAAAAAAGACTTCATCATTGACTATTTCGGTTTGCTCATGTAGGAGTCATGAACACGTTGTGATTTTTTTTTACTCCAGTTCCTCCTGCAAACTGCAAGTGAATTAATCTGCCTCCAGTTCTTTTTCTAATCAGTCAGATGCACTCCTGCAGGAGCCAGGGAAAGAACTCAGGACGTCTGAATTTCTCTGCACAGCTACAAACCGCAGCCTGTTCACAAACCTGAAAGTTCCTGAAAACTACAGATGAAAAATATGAAGCCGTATGAACTTCAAAGGGGGAAAAAAAAAAAGAAAAATAGCAGGCACAAGTAAATCCTACAAAGACATCCTGCTTTCTAGACAAAGGGCAGCTGTCAACTGAATGCCTTCAATGAAGAAACCAAATGATCTCTTTTGTAGAAAATGACAGTGGAGGATTAAAATGAAAAGTGGCCAAATAATTTACATGAGATGAGAATCCATATGATGGTAAAGAATGTAGATATCCTTGAAGCAGTTTCATTTCAATAACACTGAAGCCTAGAAAAATTGCAGATTCAGAGAAACCCTCTTTCTTTCAGGGATAATGTGCTTAGGACAATGACAGAGAGAGAATCCATCTCAGCCCCGGGCTCTGTAATGGAAGTTAACGCAATTCCTCCCCTCTTTACCAAGGTGCCCCTATCTGAATTCCTGCAACAGTTGCCAATCTTCTTTGCTGGGCTCTACGGCTTCTGTTATCCAGGCTGAGATATCAGATGCATTAAGCAATGCTTCAGTAGTGTTCCTGATAATCCACGGTGGAAGTTTTGCTGTTCCCTATCAGCTTTGCAGCTGCCAGGGACGTGTCTGAAACAAGCCAAGCTGCAGAGCAGCCGAGGGATGGCCGGATTCAGGGTGTTTTCGTGGGGCTGCGTGTTGGATATCAGCAGATAAAAACCCAGCTCAGCAGACCCCGGGGCTGAGGAAAGGCTTAGTTTAAGGCACAGCACAGTGATTGAAGTGCAGGCTGAAAGGGATGGTCCTATCTACTCCTTCGCTCCCTTTTTGCAGAAAGGTTTTCTGCCCGACTGCTCCTCCGGTCCAGCTTTCCACCCATGCCAAGAGCAGAATTTGCACAGCCGAGGGATGTAGGCAGGAGATGGCAGAAACACAGCTGGAAAGGGCTCCTTCGGTGGCACTTCACATATATCCTCTTAAACTGATGCTAAAAGCAAAGCCTGAGCAACGAGCTTGTGGAATGGCCCAGAGATTTATAGGGGAAAAATATAAATAAATAAA